ACAAAAAATAAAAGATCAGAGAGATCAGACTCCGCCACACAGTCTAGACCGACTACGTATGAGGTCCTCTCAAGCCTAGTCGGACTCAGCTCCGTGAAGACACCGCAAATCAGATTCAAAATGTACTACGTAAATGCAAGAGAGAATTGAGTGGTGTCCAAGGTGTGAGACAGGCGGCGGATCGTGCCGTAAAGTATGATAAAACCTCTCAGTTGAGATCCCCTCAGCAGCAAGTGTCCTGGTCTGAAAGCATGAACTCTAGAGTCCCAATCAGATAGAGCGAGGTGACTGACGTCAACAGATTTGGGCCTGAGGGGGCCTTCTTGTTTGGGCCAGGTCCCACTGAGTTCCAAATGGTCCCAGTGGAGTCAAAACCGAGTCCCAACCAACAAGAGTTCCACAAAGACCTACTTTTTGCCCTTACCGGATTGAAAAACGCAATTTAGCCCCCGAAAGAACCTACAGACTACAGTCGTTCAAAATGAAATAAACAAAGCAATGTAGAGAGATATAGCATGGCAAGCAAGATACTCCATTCATTCACTCGTCAGGTGAGTAAGCAGTTCACACACCTCACACACAATCAAGACTATGGAGGATGGAAGAAGAACCCAGAAAACCCCAACAGGCAGTCAATTCCATGCACACACACATGGGCACCTTGGCGGCACGGCACTTACCTGAGTGGCCGGGCTCTTGAGATGAACGCACTCACCCCCCTCTCACATAGTCCTCCTGACCTAATTAGCATCCTCTACAGTGTCCTATCATCTAGGAGGGTCAACATCTACCCAAAGTACAAAGTCGGATCCGCCGTCGATGTTGAAGATCAAAGCAGCAACTTGCAGTTCGTAGGTGCAGATATGGCTGCCACCCTCAAGCTCGCCTAACTTGAGGGGAACCCTAAAGTCACTCCTCGTCTTCCTTGAAGTCCAGATTCAAGTTGTAGGTGCCCTTCACTGTCGCCTCTCTCAAGTTGCATCACGAAGTCCCACCTTGTGTCTCGCCACCACAACATGCACTCAAGCAACCGAGCCGGGTCTAGTTTCGACCCTACACGGCCCTACCAGGTGGGAGCAGCTTCCCTTTACCACGCTGCCCCATTTAACCCTAACCCTAAGTAGTTAGCCCTTACCACTAGGGTTAGGGTTATGGCAACAATGTCAACTCTCGCCAGCAAGTAGAATTCGCTCTCATACCAATGCTACGATCCTGGCCAATTTCAAAGTATACATACATCAGAAAGTACAATGTCGTCCAATTGCAAAAAGAAATGAATGAACTTGAGAGGAGAGAGAGGGAAAGAAGAAGAAGACAAAGTAAGAAAGAAGAAGAAGATGATGTACTCCAGCATAGACCAATGACAAAGCTCTTCTTCTTTGCCAACCAATCTCCTCCTCCTTATCTCCTCCCCTCTTATTCAAACAAGAAATAACAATAATAATGTTGAATGGCTGAACCAGAATCAATGTCTGAATCCCGCTTCTACTGCACGCACAACATGAGGTCCACCATAGCCATGGCCACCCTTCTCCTTCCTCTCCATTGCAGGTCGAGGCTATGGCAGACTACTGAGGCTTCAGCCTCCTGTCCAAAGGACAACCCAAAGCAGCTATATCGCTGCCGCTTCAAGCAGCTATGCCGCTGCTCACTCAACCGCCATGCCTGACTCTACCCCGAGCGTCCTTGGTGCGGCACTACCCCAACGGGGCCTTTCCAGATGCAGCGCCCAACAAGGTGATGAAGATGGTGTCCACCATAGCCAGGTAAGTACCTCACCACTCTCCTCCTTGGTCCCCTTCTCTCTCTTCCTCCTACCGGTAGAGCTCAACCATAGCCAAGATGGAAACTGCCGGCTTCTTCCGGCGCTCTTCCAACCAGCACTCCAAGAGCGTGACGCCCAACCAGCGCTCCAACAGTGTGACGCCCAACTCGCACACTGAAGAATGAGGCCGAGCTCTTGCCTCGGTCTCTTGATATAGCGGCCTACTTGCCTCCTGGGCGGTGACGTCCAGGCCGCTCGGCCTCCCAAGCAATCAGTACCTCCTCCCTTTCGGAGGGAAACATCATTGCAGATTCTGATATTGCCCGTACAGGCTCTAGACTCAAACTGGATGGACTGGTACCGGCCTAGACCTAGCCTACCGCTACTGGCCCTCTAAAAATGCCAAGTCTTCTTCTGCTCGGCCTCGAGTGCACCTCATCCGGCTGGAGGACGTTCTCATTGAGCACTTCTCAGTAGGTAAAAATGACGTCTTGGCTGGCAGCGATCAGCCTTTTACGTGCGAAGGGAAGACGAGTGTCTACTGAATTAGAGTCATAAGTGAGGGAGATGAGACAAAGGCCTTCTATCCGATGACCCTGTTGGCGGACCTGCCACTGGACCCTGAAGAGTGGCGGGGTAGGCAGACTGGCAGAGGGCCGTCCAAACCTCTAACCCTAGCAAACCTGAAAGTGAATTTGGCCTACCGCATGCTTAGGACTAAGAGGGAGCTGCGGGATGTGCTTATTGACAGATGTCAATGCCACCTCAACATAGACCGGCAACTTCTTAAGCCACCAACACTTGGCCCAGCTATCGGCCGCGGAAAAAATAGAGTAGAAACGTTTCTAGTCGGATGAATTTGGTTAGATGTAAAAAATGATTCATGTTGGCCTGATCTACTCAAAACGTGGCGAAATTGCCTCTTCCATATAAGACCCGCCCACAAGATGGGAAGAGGTCTGCCAACAACCACTTTTCAACAATAGATGGATCACAGACCCCCAAGGAAGGATGCTACACTGCGCATACTCACCTTGGAGGGGGTGGATTAAGGGGACCTATGGAACATAGAATCAAAGGATTGGTTTTCCCACTCATAACTTTCAGCGAAACTAAGATACTGTAGACAATCTGAATCTGCAATGGGCTCGATAATTGAGTTGATCCCCCTAGACTGGGTGAGGATATTTAGGAAAGGACTTAAGATTCAAGAAGACGATTGGGTTGGTCTGCGAGGCAATGACCAACGGGTAGCAAATGCTATTATGGTTCATGGGGATGGCTCCCTTCTCCTTACAATCTTCTTCTTAGGGTATAATAACATCATTTTGAAAACCCACCCACAGGAAACAAGATGGATACAGGTGGATCTGGTCTTCAGAGTAATGGGGAAGAAAAGGAAGTACAAGATGGATGAATCAACTAAACATTGGTAAGGAACCTCTGAGAAACATCAAATGGTTCAAAAATATTACTCCAGACCAGCCAAAGTAGCGTCATTGCAATGACTGATAGACCATCGACGTCTCCCAACAAATGATTGTATTATAGATAGAACCTCGTTAGAAAAGAGAGGGTTGGTTTTTCCCTGGTGTAGGTTCTGCACCTCTGCGTTCCCCTCAAGGAAAATCCAGGAAACAATCGAGCATATATTTCTGCAGTGCCCAAGTTCGATATGGCTATGGCTGGTGGGATAGGATATGGAGTAAAATAGGTACTTCCCACAACTGGTCGTGGGAATGGAAGGCTCTGTTATGTAAAACCTGGTGTCCAGAACAAATAGATAAGTTTACTCACAACCTTTTTATTACAGGACGAAGAGCACTCATGTGGGTCATTTGGCGTCGTAGATGCACATACGAAATGGAGGGAGCAAGGCTCGATGGTCCAGAATTCACTGATTCTATCAAACAACAAATACAAACAGAAAACACAGCTCAATGGGAAAAGGTAAAGGAAAAGGTTAAATATTTATCATCCAGGACGAAAAGTATTCAACACTTTCAAAACTTCAGTGGTGACTGGCTTGGGGGGCCCCCAAAGGGGAAGAATTGGCAGGATCAAGTGGGGAGGGGCCAGAGATGAACAACAGGCAGGTCATCAAGAGGAATTTCAACGGGATTATCGCCTTTTTTTCATGATTGGACAATTCTAGACCCTTCCATCCCTCTTCGCCCTTTGTGTGACTTCCGTGACCCGTTCCCTCCTGCGGCATTGAGCTTGGTGCCTCGCTGCTGGTATGGTCTACTCTAAATGAAGGTCTCCCTGATCCAAAAGAACTCTTCCTAAATCTTACTGGTTGTTAGGAAGCTGCTAGTATAGCATTGAGAAATTTGGGACTCAGTTATTGCGTGAAGAGGCAGCTGACTCAGCACCAGCCATCAGTCAGGATATGAGGATAGATCCACATTATAAAAAAAAAAGAAAAAATGGGCCTCTACAAGGACTCACTATCTTCAGAAACCTGCTCAGTGAACCCCGCAGTCTCCCTGGGGAAGTCAATGCTGGAACGAGGTGCGAAGAAAATCAGTGCTAGAAGATGCAGTAAGATATGGCGCCCAAGAAGGGGCGAAGAGGTTCTGATTCAGTCATTCTTGCTTGGTTCATTATCTGGATTTTCAAAATTTTGTCATATGTGAGGGACAC